ATCATCACCGTCATCTTCATCTCCAGACATGTATTCTTCATGAACAAGGGCCTTGTCATCCTTCCTCTTTGCAAACTTGGTGAACTTCTTCTTCTTAAGCACAAGCTTCTCGGACTTGTCTTCACGTCTTTCATATGGACAATCATGAACAAAGTGTCTTGGGCTATCACAATTGTAGCATTTCCTTCGTCCAAAAGATCTTCATTGAAGATTTCTTCCTTTGTTTGCCATGGTCCCGGAGTACTTCTTGACTAAGAGAGCCAAGTCTTCTGCAAAATCATTTGCCGGGCACGAGGTATCATTATCCTCCTCACATATCTCTTCACTCACTTCTTCCTCCCTTGAGGGTTGGCTCATCACTTTCTTGTCCTTCAAGGCAAGATTGGAGTTCTTGGTTGCTTGAGCTATTGCAAATGTTTTCTTGGACTTGGTTTCCAAAAGAACATAGGTAGAGAAGGTGGAAACAACTTGAGCCGAAGTCAACTTGTGATAGTCCGGACGTTGATGAACCATCATGACCATGGTATGTTTTGTGAGAACCATAGCATCTATGAACTTGTCCTTGATGAATTCATCATTTGCCCAAGTGCACCCAAAGGTTCTTAAGTTGAGCACAAGGGACTTCAACCTTCGGTAAACCTCTTCTGCGGACTCACCCTCATTCCTCACAAAGAGATTGACTTCTTGTTTGAGCAAGGCCAACTGAGATCTTCGAATTGCTTCATCTCCTTCAAGAGCCTCCTCAAGGCAATCCCAAATTTCTTTTGCAGTTCTGAGAAGAGCAATGGAATCACTATAGTCTTCAGTCACTGCATTGCGAAGCATGTTGTGTGCAGTAGCATTGAGTTGATCGTCAACTGCTTCCCTTGGAGTGAGATTCATTTGGGTCCTTGGGGTTGAATCCATTGACCACAATCCACCACAATTGAGTTGAAGCACTGCGCATGTGAGACTCCATATCTAGCTTCCACTTAGCAAACGCATTAGCTTTCAAAGGGGGCGGAGGCCCAACAGGATTAATGCGGGGATGTTGCAAGGGTTGAGGAGAGTAAAAGGGTTCCACGGCATTGTACTGGGGAACTTGAGTATGAGCCGGGGAAGCAAGAGGTTCCCTCGAGTCATCCGCATCATGAACCTCATTTGGGTTAAACAAGTTTGATGCGGACGTTGATGGCTTTAGGCGAGCATCAATTTCCTCCTTGACCGAGGCACAAACCTCTTTCAACATAGAGACTTTGAGGTCCGCAAACATTGAAAGAAGATCGACCGCGGTCAAGGGGACATTCGGGTTAGTAGTAGCGGCAGGAGCAACGACCGGAGCACCAAGTGTCTCAGTCGTGATGGGGGGTTGGTTTTGACCATCCCCCACAACGGGTAGGCCACCTCCCTCATTCCCTAGATCGACCATATCCTCTAAGGTTGTAAAACCTTATATTAGAGCACGAGGCTCTGATACCAATTGAAATGATTGATACGGTCGACTAGAGGGGGGGTGAATAGGAGACTACAAATTTTAATCTTTCTTGTAGATTTTAAGGCTTAGTGGATAAAAGAGTTCACAAGATATGCAACTAGGTGAATGCAACCTATATGACAAGCAAGCTCCAAGAAGAAAAGCTAGGCAACAAACTACTTAGCAAGCCAACAAGCATACAACAACTAAGAAAGGTGCGGGAAAGGATTAACCACAAGAGAGACGAGGACGCGGATTTTAACCCGAAGTTCACTCTTCCTTGGGGAAGAGCTAATCTCCATTTGGAGCGGTGCCAGAGCCAAAGCTTGCGGAATGCCACCAAAGGCTCACTGTATTCTCCTTCGAGTCACCCCCAACGGATGAGCCTCGAACCACTCGGGGTTGGTCTTGAAGGCGACCACCACACCTTTACAAACTTCTCCGGAGCACACCACAAGCAAGGAAGCTTCCGGAGGAACTTCTAACCGCCTAGGAGCCCAAGCTCCAAGAGTAACAAGTCAATGGGGAAGAAATGTTGCGGGGAACGCGATTTGGTTTGGTTAAGTTGTAGATTGGGTCTTGCTCTCCCAATCCCCAAAGTTTCAACAAGTTTGGGTGGAGGGATTGAGAGTATTGAGCAAAATGGGGTGTAGCAATGGTGGAGCTCAACAAGACATTAGGGTTAGGGGTTGGAGGAGGAAGAAGGGCCTTTTTATAGTGTTCATGTGAGGGTGGGGATTTCTGTCCGTTGGACCCCGTGCGCACGGGCTAAGTCAGCCCCGTGCGCACGGGGTATCCAAAGACAATCGCACCACCCCGTGCGCACGGGGGTCAAAAGACCCCGTGCGCACGGGGTATCCAGAGAGTTACGCAGTACCCCGTGCGCACGGGGGTCAAAAGACCCCGTGCGCACGGGGTACCCAGAGAGTTACCCAGTACCCCGTGCGCACGGGGGTCAAAAGACCCCGTGCGCACGGGGTACCCAGTAACTTACTATTGCAACTTTCTGAGTACCACAACACACACACTAGGTTCATATGAGGTGGTTGGAGTGGGAAGGGTAAGAGAGTAAGGCTCGATAAAGGCATTCCCACACAATATTTATCCACACAAACCCCTCTTAATAGTGCGGTCTTTCCTACGACTCGAAGCAAACCAAAACTAAACCTTCGAAGCGTCGAAAGACCACGCCTTTGTCCTTTTTGAAATGGGGGTCGCACATCTCCATCGCGGGCACTTAGAACCAATAACCTGAGATAAACTTTAGCAACCGATATTAGTTCAACTAACCACATTGTCATCACACCAAAATATAACTTAAGTGCCATTAGCACTTTCACAAACCCACAAGTTATTCAGATCCTAACCATGCAATGTTTGAGGGTTGGAACTAATGCATAAAAACAGGGTATGAGAAGAGTATGATCAATGTGTTACTTGCCTTGCTGACGATTCGCAAAACCTAGAGACTCGTAGTACCACGCTTCGCACTCCGGGTGTTCTATCACAAAAAAACAATATCATACATAAGCAATCAAGCAAATATGCACGGGTAAAACTCAACTAAGAAGATCTAACCAGAAAGTTCAACTTAAGAACTCCGGTTTGCAAAAAGAATCAAATCAAACGGAGCAACGAAACTCAAACTGCGAGAGAAACAAGATCCGATTACTAATCTGAACTAAACTCAAATTTTACAGTACCAAAATCTTGTTCAAGTTGGTTAAACAGAAAGAGAGCTTCGAGACGAAGATCTAGGCGCTTGAATCGCTTGATTCCGATAAACGAGCGAAAAGATAAACTAAAACGAAAATCGGATCAGAAATCACGATCGAAAATAATCGTGAAAACCCGAGAAAAAGAAAAACGGACGAACAGGCTAACGAACGAACGTTCGCTGTCTGCGGCTAACGGGCAAAAACCGTTCGTTAAAACGAACGTACGGACAAACGTCCGCTATATAACTAAACCAACCGGATCTAAAAAAACGGATCTAGGGTTTCAAAAAAAACGATCGGTTTTCTCACGAAAACCGAGGCGGCGGCGGCGACTACCTCCGGCGAGGTCGGCGAGGCGACGGCGGCGGCACGCGGCGGCGGCGGCGCTAGGGTTTCGGCGGCGCGGGTGGGCTTCGGTGGCTGGTGGGCTTCGGCGGGCAGGGGGGCCCCGGCTTATAAAGCCCCTCCGGGCGGAGTCCCACTCGGGTACGGCCCAGAGTCGGTTTGACTTTTTAAAAAAAAATCCGTTGTGCAGAAAAAGAAAGAAAAGAAATACTAAACGGACTACAAAAATCCCGAAATAAATTTTCCCCGTCCTCTAAAAATATGCCGAACAAGGTGAACATTTATTTGGGCCTAAAATGCAATTTTGAAAAACACATATTTTTCCTATGCAAATAAAATAGCAAAAAAATCCGAATAAAATCAAATGTTTGATTTTAATATTTTGCTCCAACATTTCATTTATTTTGGAGAAGTCATATTATCTCCTCTCATATCTTTTAGTATGAAAATATTTTGGAGAGAAAAATAATAAAACAAATGATCCTCGTTTCGATATTTGATTAAACTCAAATATGAAAACAGTGAAATCCCTAACTCTCTCCGAGGGTCCTTGAGTTGCTTAGAATTTCGAGGATCACGAAACAGAATGCAACAGAAAATGATATGCATGAATGACCTATGTATAACATTCCAAATTGAAAATTTGGGATGTTACAAAATTTGGTCAAAGTTTGTGTGGTTTGACTTTCTAAAAAACCATATGCACTACATTGTGAAACGGAAGAAGTAACCCATAGCAACTCCGATACAAATAACATATCCTCCTCCCACGAACTATGGCTCGTTTATTGAACCCATCGATGAGAATGAACTCAACTTGAGTATCGAAAAATGGTTATGACTGGCAGGCGCTCATTTTGGCTTCCAACTTGCTCGCCCCAGCCCGACATGATTCTAGGAACAAAGCTTAAGAAGCAAATAATGCCTTGATCCACTCGATTTGGACCAGTAATCAGCTGGTTCAACCGGATCTATCCACTACTGCATTTTGACCCGGCGAGTACAGTACAATACAGGGACATAGAAAATGAGTTTATACATTTCACCGTTTGCAGGGGTTAAAACGACTCAACTAAATCCTTTGGAATATGAGAGAATTTGTAGACTTCAACCGCTGACGTCTCAAGACTAGCCAACCTCTCTAGTCTGTACTCAACATTAGTACAGAGCTGCAAGAATATGTACACTGGCATGCGGTTTGCCCACCAGTAATTTGCTGACCATTCTTAAGCAAAAAATACAACAAATTCTACAGCTTTATATTCTAGTCAGTGACCCCATGTGTAAGGAACTAGACTAATGGCTACTTGGGAGAGGTCCTAATACAGCAAACATCTGCAGCTTTCATTTTTAGAAACTGCACAACCCTTCCATTTCTTCAAATTTGGATGGTTCATGGAAACAATTGAGTTTCACAACTAATTGCTGGATTCACCAATCGTAATCTGGCTGGTAATTAACAAAAATGCAGGCAACAGCTGTCATCATGTCCTCGGTCTTAACTGATAGTATTTCACACCATAACCTACTGTGGATGCCATTGTAGTAGTAGCAACCAGCCAACTGCAGTTACAAAACAAAATATTTAGCAAGAAACACTGCAAGCACAATGTTTTATATAAACTATGTTTTTTTACAATCATCAATTATTGATGTTCAAGTATTCTTCTGTTTCGGTATTATTTTCTTGAAATTATCAAATTCACATAGGAGATGCTTCTGAGTTATGACAGATAAATAGTGGTTTGACTGGTTCAACGTATAAGTATAATTTCATATAAAAAACACCATTTCACCAAACTACAAACACCAGGGCAGACAAAAAGTTTGAAAAAAAGATTACCCCAAGTATGTAATATAATTCCGAGTCTCCTCTGTGCCGAATTCTGGCTGAAGGAGTGCGCCAGCAACCAACATCAACTGAAATACTGTATTTACCTGCATTAAAAAATTATTGTCATGTGTGTCAAAGCTCCACAGGATCAAATAATGTGAGAACATAGTGACATACCTTGCTGATGAAAAGAGGTTGAACCTTCTCACGCTGAATTGCATCCAAATTACAAAAGTCTGACCAACTATTCCACTGGCGCGAGGATAATCGGGGTGAGTATTCATTTGAACACTTCAAATATATACCTAATTTTGTGTAAGTAGTACCTTCCATCCCAGGCTGGATGCTCGTTTGTAGAAAGCCCCACCCACCAGGAGAAAGTCTCTTGCAACCACCAGGCCAACAAGGCCAGCTTCAAGCAGAGCAATCAAAGTGCAACAACAGTGATTGATTTGTCAAATTATTCAGTTAAGGGCAAGAATAGCAGGACAATATAATGAGCTATCAGCAATCACCATCACTGTATTTTTACTTAGATGAAGCTGGTGAATGGTTTTAGACATTCAGAGTATCACACAATGTCTCTGGTTGGGATTGACATTATACACGGGGATGCAAGGAAGCTGTGTAGCAAAGATACAAAAATGAAGAGAATATGTGTTGAGCTACTCACGATGTAAGAGCTCCCTCTCAACCATTGCTACAGCAACACAGCAAATCAACACCTAAGCAACACAACAAATACTGCAGGTCAGCTTAACAGCACACATATAATTTTATATAAAGAAACATAAAGTTTATAAATATTGATTTGAAGTTTGAACCTTGTCAGCCAATGGGTCCAGATATGAACCAATTACAGAATTGATGCCCATCTTTCTTGCTAAAAAACCATCCAACTATTGTCAGAGAATAAATGATGAGTAAGGTTTTTAACATACGGTGTTAGTATGGTAAAAATATTAGAAGGGTGTAATCTTACCCAATCACTTGCACCAGACAAAGCTAATGTGCCAAAAGCAGGAAGATACCATTCATTCATAATCATCCTACATAGCATATGTAGATAATCAGAACCAGAACCGTAGATAGGAAAAATATATATAATCATGGCCCTATATGTCTAAAATATTATGTGGCAAGACAACATATCCAAAACCGCAAATTAATCAAACATATATACTTTATTTGACAGCAATTGCATGCTCTGATACCTAGAGACTGAATAATTCGAAAACACTGTTAGAACATCCAAAAAAGCTAATTAGACATTAACCCCAATTTTAGACCTCCTGTGATGAAGCAAAACAACACAAAAACTAAGAGGAGGATGGTGCACTGTTGAAGTATGGAATGATAAGCCTACAGCCTGGCAACTTCTTCAGATTTGACACTGACACGCAGTGCTGGTTAAGCAATACATCTGATTCTAATGTGAAGAACAAACAAAAGGTTTACTCAGCCCTTTATGTAAATGTCATGTCACATAGACACAGAACAAAACATTTCAGTATCTTTTGTCTGACATGGTTCAAAGCTGCCTGGTCAAACATGTATTTACATGACCAAAGAGAACATGAAGAAAGGTTCAATGATTGGTTAACATGTTTTGACTACAAGCTCCGCAACCTTGGTGACAACTAACAATTTCACACATCGTATTTAATATCCTGTCTCAATTTGTAGCCTGGCAGCCTCTCCTTCTGTTCCGAAATGTAAATATTTCGGGTTCTCGGTTCCTTAAGATTTGACATACAAAAGCAACTCAGCCATGCCTATGTAAAACTTGAAATACAATCAATTGTAAGACATGCATAAAGCCTCAACAATACATAGCATCAAATATTCGATTCCTTTAAGGCTAACACATTCGGACCTACATCATCAGACACATAGCGACATAATTTTAAATAGCTGGTCTGGGCAGAAATAATTGCTAATCCAACAAGTATGCATGAGACTAATTTTTTTCATGAGGTACTCATGCACGAGCACAGAACTATCTATGAAAAATAACAGGGCATGGTAATGTATGGCCTAAAACCTGCACACATTTCTGATTCGATTTAACTGGCATGCCTCGAAAAGTCGAAATTAACTAACTATTGACAAGGTGAGTACTGAGGACAGTTCTACTGAATGCAGTACTAAGTAAACACCAGAGGAGTATCATTTTGATCAACGGAGTCCAACCATCAAACTTAAGCAGTTATATCAGTGCATCCAGTCCGATAGCATAGTGACACCTGAAGGTAAGAACTCACCATCCAATGAGCGGACCCGACGCCATGCGCCCGATCGACACCAAATTGGGCAGATTCAGAAACTTCTCGCCTCCACCCGGACCCGCAGCCTCGCCTCCGTAGACCCGCTTGGGCTCCCACCGCACCGCGTCCGCGAGAGCCTGCGCACCGCCGCCGGCAATGGCGCGAGCCCTGTGGAGCTTCGAGCGGAAAGCGGCGGCGGTGGTGAACGGCGTGGCGGACCGCGAGAGCGCCCATGGGGACGAGGAGGGGAGCAGCGGCCCGCTGCGGGGGCGGCCGAGGACGCGGGGGTGCGCGGCCGCGGCCGCGGCGGCGAAGGGGGCGGGGGCGGGAGGGGCGGCGGCGCGGAAGGGGGCGGAGAGCGTGTAGTGGGAGAAGAGAGGCCTCGGATTCGGGAGGGCGGGGTTCCTGCGGAGGAGAGGGTTTAGGGTTCTGAGGAAGGCCATGTCCGTGGACTGTGGAGCATTGGAGGGGGCTCGGGCCGTCTGTTGGGATCCCTGGTGAGGGGGAGGAGAGCTTCTTGCGCTTGGGGTTCTCGAGGAAGGTGACGGTGACGGACGGGGAGTGGAGCGGCGGCTGGTTGGTGGGGCCGCCGTCCGTGCTACACGCTCTTTCTTCTCCGGCCCATGGAGGAGGCGTCCAATCACAAGGTTTTGTAAGTTCTATATAAGAGCATCCACACTCCACTTGACAAATCCGGCACTTAATATGCCCGTGGGTGCTTTTGAACGCGTCCGTAGACGGCGTCCGCCGGCCCCTTACATATTGTGTCCTATATTCACATATCTTAAATTTTGATTCTTAAATTTATACACGTCGATCATACGATACAAATTTGTGAATTTAAAAGTTCGAAACAAAGCAAAAGCAAAAGCAAAACAAATCATAGTTCAACAAACAGTATATGCCAAAATGAAATCAATGTCCGAGCGTGTAGATGGCCTCGGATCACTGGTCGGGCTTCTGCTCCGAGCAAAATGCGTCCTGCTCGTTCCGCTCCGCCTGCATCCGGGCTGCAACCGCCCTTGCCGCCTCGTACTCCCTATGGTCATTGATCTCCTTCTTCTTATTCGCAAGCAACTTCTTCACATGCTCATCCAAGAGGGTTTCATCCGCCAACATGATCCTCGCATCGTCGGCGTCCCGTGCGAGTTGCAACCTCTCCTTTTCATGCTCTATGTCGCCAAATGTCTTAGCCTTCTCGAGTTCTCATTTGATCACCGCTTGTTGCTTCTCCAACTCGATATTCTCCCTCTCAATTTCGAGTTTCTTCTCCGCCCTCTTCCGGTCTCACTCCATCCTTTCCTTTTGCGTATCCAACATGAGCTTGTACCTCTCCTCCTTCTTGCTCTCCCTCGCCGAAAAATGTCTGTCCATGTGGACGACATTTTTGTAGCCGCGGCGTCATGGGAGGAACGTGCCTTCCCGCACTTGTTTCCCATGACTTGGCGGTTAATCCTTTGGCATGGTGGTTTTTCCATTCTTCACGACAACATCGTCCAACCCAATTTGGAGCTTGAGCCATCACTCCTCTGCCAAACTTGAGCTCAACCACAACTAGGTTCCACTTCAGCTTGCCATTCAATATGATCCAACGGCTAAAAGCAAACGACTTCTTCACCATTCGAGGTGAGTTTTAGGAACAATTATTGTGATGACATGGCATCATTAGGAGTGGATCACTGTAGCTTAATTATCATGGTGTTACACTCACTCATCGAAAGTCCACGTGACTTTATATATTAACTAAAAAAGGAGTTTTGTTCGGTTAATTGGAAAAAAACCATGCAAAAACATTACCTGCCACCTATCATTGCCACTACCTAGACGATGATGTGACAACTTTGGCTTTATAGCACTAGAGGGGAACAAAAATAAAGACCCAGCGGGAATGCTAGAAAACCAACTATCGAAACATGGTTGTGATCAAAATATTCTCATAATTGTCATGCAAGGCTTACTATGAACCTTGAAACAACGTCCACAAGCCCCTCCACCAAATACCAACTCAAATGAAGAAGACCCCAAGAGGGGCACGACTTCAAAGTGTGACAAACGTCTAATCCATAGGGTTTCCTCTCGATAGGAGTGGGGAATTACATCGCCTTGACCATGTACTCGAGACGAAGATTTTGTCTTGTTGTGGTGTTAGTTCTTGTCATAAAAGAGAGTTGTTTTATGATGATTGGCAACATTGGTTCCTACTCCGCAGAGCGGATATGTTGTCTTCACCCAGTACCTTTGCAAACATCCATAGTCTAGGGTAGTCCACGAATTTTCGCAAGTCACAGTTGTAGAGATCAAGGGAATGAAACCGATGTTGTAGATGTTGATACGTCCATTTTGCATCATGCTTTTATATCGATATTTATCGCATTATGGGTTGTTATTACACATTATGTCACAATACTTATTCCTATTCTCTCTTATTTTACAAGGTTTACATGAAGAGGGAGAATGCCGGCAGCTGGAATTCTAGGTTGGAAAAGGAGCAAATATTAGAGACCTATTCTGCACAACTCCAAAAGTCCTGAAATTTCACGGTAGCAAGTTTCAAAATATATAAAAAATATTGGGCGAAAGAAGTACCAGAGGGGGGCCACCCACCATCCATGAGGGTGGGGGACGCGCCCTACCCCCTAGGCGCGCCCCCTGCCTCGTGGGCCCCCTGGCAGCCCTCTGATGCCCATCTTTGGCTATATGGAGTCTTTCGTCCTGGAAAAAAATCATAAGCAAGCTCACGGGACGAAACTCCGCCGCCACGAGGCGGAACCTTGGCGGAACCAATCTAGGGCTCCGGCGGAGCTGTTCTACTGGGGAAACTTTCCTCCGGGAGGGGGAAATCATCACCATCGTCATCACCAACGATCCTCTCATCGGGAGGGGGTCAATCTCCATCAACATCTTCACCAGCACCATCTCATCTCAAACCCTAGTTCATCTCTTGTATCCAATCTTTGTCTCAAAACCTCAGATTGGTACCTATGGGTTGCTAGTAGTGTTGATTACTCCTTGTAATTGATGTTAGTTGGTTTATTCCATGGAAGATCATATGTTCAGATCCTTTATGCATATTAATACCCCTCTAATTATGAACATGAATATGATTTGTGAGTAGTTACGTTTGTTCCTAAGGACATGGGAGAAGTCTTGCTATAAGTAGTCATGTGAATTTGGTATTCGTTCGATATTTTGATGAGATGTGTGTTGTCTTTCCTCTAGTGGTGTCATGTGAACGTCGACTACATGACACTTCACCATTGTTTGGGCCTAGAGGAGGGCATTGGGAAGTAATAAGTAGATGATGGGTTGCTAGAGTGACAGAAGCTTAAAGCCTAGTTTATGCGTTGCTTCGTAAGGGGCTGATTTGGATCCATATGTTTCATAAAATGGTTAAAGTTTACCTTAATACTTCTGTTGTAGTTGCGGATGATTATAAGTGGGATGCTTGTCCAAGGAAGGACAGTACCCAAGCACCGGTCCACCCACATATCAAATTATCAAAGTACCGAACGTGAATCATATGAACGTGATGAAAACTAGCTTGACGATAATTCCCATGTGTCCTCGGGAGCGCTTTCCTTTATACAAGAGTTTGTCCAGGCTTGTCCTTTGCTACAAAAGGGATTGGGCCATCTTGCTGCACCTTATTTACTTTTATTACTTGTTACCCGTTACAAATTACCTTATCACAAAACTATCTGTTACCGATAATTTCAGTGCTCGCAGAGAATACCTTACTGAAAACTGCTTATCATTTCCTTCTGCTCCTCGTTGGGTTCGACACTCTTACTTATCGAAAGGACTATGATAGATCCCCTATACTTGTGGGTCATCAAGATTCTTTTATGGCGTCGTTACAGGGGAGTGAAGCGCCTTTGGTAGGTGGAATTTGGTAAGGAAAAAGTTATATAGTGTGCTGAAATTTACTGTCACTTGCTACTATGGAACATAATCCTTTGAGGGGCATGTTCGGGGTATCTTCACCCCGACTAGTAGAGCAAAGAGTTGCTCCTCAACCTACTGAACCTACTGAAAATGTTTACTTTGAAATTCCTTCGGGCATGATAGAGAAACTGCTAGCTAATCCTTTCACAGGTGATGGAACATTACATCCTGATTTGCACCTAATCTATGTGGATGAAGTTTGTGGATTATTTAAGCTTGTAGGTATGCCCGAGGATGTTATCAAGAAGAAGTTATTCCCTTTATATTTGAAGGGAAAGGCATTGACATGGTTTAGGCTATGTGATGATATGGGATCATGGAACTACAACCGATTGAAATTGGAATTTCATCAGAAGTTTTATCCTATGCATCTTGTTCATCGTGATCGTAATTATATATATAATTTTTGGCCTCGCGAAGGAGAAAGCATCGCTCAAACTTGGGGGAGGCTTAAGTCAATGTTATATTCATGCCCCAATCATGAGCTCCCAAAAGAAATTATTATTCAAAAAATTTATGCTCGGCTTTCTCTCAATGATCGCTCTATGCTCAGTACTTCTTGTACTGGTTCTTTTATGATGAAGACTATTGAATTCAAATGCGATTTATTGGAAAGAATTAAACGCAACTCTGAAGATTGGGATCTCGACGAAGGTAAGGAGTCAGGTATAACACCTAAGTTTGATTGTGTTAAATCTTTTATGGATATGGATGCTTTCCGTGAATTTAGCACTAAATGTGGACTTGACTCTGAGATAGTAGCTTCTTTCTATGAATCCTTTGCTACTCATGTTGATCTCCCTAAGGAGAAGTGGTTTAAATATAATCCTCCCATTGAAGTAAAAGTAGTTGCACCTATTAAAGTTGAATAAAAGACTATCACTTATAATGATCATGTTGTTCCTACTCCTTATATTGAGAAACCACCTTTCCCTGTTAGAATAAAGGATCATGCTAAAGCTTCGATTGTGGTTCGTAAGAGTGATACGTCTCCAACGTATCTATAATTTTTGATTGTTCCATGCTATTATATTATCTGTTTTGGATGTTAATGGGCTTTATTTTACACTTTTATATTATTTTTGGGACTAACCTATTAACCGGAGTGTTGGAGAACGTAGTAATTTCAAAAAAAAATCCTACGCACACACATGATCATGGTGATGCATAGCAATGAGAGGGGAGAGTATCGTCCACGTACCCTCGTAGACCGAAAGCGGAAGCGTTAGCACAATGCGGTTGATGTAGTCGTACGTCTTCACGATCCGACCGATCCAAGTACCGAACGTACGGCACCTTCGAGTTCAGCACACGTTCAACTCGATGACGTCCCGCGAACTCCGATCCAGTAGAGCTTCATGGGAGAGTTCCGTTTGCACGATGGCGTGGTGACGGTGATGATGTTGCTACCGACGCAGGGCTTCGCCTAAGCACCGCTACGATATGACCGAGGTGGAATATGGTGGATGGGGGTGTTGGAAATATGCCCTAGAGGCAA